AAAGCAAAAAATACATGTTGAGTCATGTAATTTGCCATCTTTTTTCACATATTTTAGGTATTGGAGCAATGGCTGAAGTTACAAGTATTGTAGCAATAGTAAAAGATCACTTGGAAACAATGAAATGATATAGTATAAATTTCCTTTTTTTTTAGTTTATAATATCAACCAGAATTCTGTAGGGTCAAGTTGACACATTACATTTTTCCTTTGAGCAACATAAAAAAACATTATGTATTGCAATGGACTCACATTTTTCTATCATTTTTGACTAGTCCTGTTCAAATAATACATTGCATTTGAAGTTTATGATTGCAACTTATAGATCAAACCCAATTCCCTTCACCCTTAACGGTTCTGAATTCAACATACTCTATTCATTTGCCTACAAGCTAACCTATTATTTCAAGACCTTAAACTCAGTCTTGGAATGCAATGTATATGAAGTGACAATACTTAAAACATTTACAGCGTAATACAGTTTAAATAAATTAGGTTTATATACATGTATAGTGAGGAAATAAATACATTGTTTTATTCTTTGTTTGTCTCACATCTTTTCGTAAGTCAATTGATAACCACATGTCTTGCATGTTTTTGTCCATTCATCAGTTTCCTCATTATATTCTTCTTCTTCCTCAAACTGATGCTGGTGTCTACTAGTATCTTTCTTCCATGTGCTTGTTCTTACTGCACGACGAAGTTCTGTTGCATGGAAGAAAAGATAAAACGAGACTAGAATGGTTGGTACATTTTGAATGGTTTTAGATTTGAAAGATGTAAAATGAAGCAAACCTTTAACTTTCTTGTCAAATTTTCTTTGTTTTTGAACTTCTCTCTTCTCTGCTCTGCCCTGTCTAGCTTCTTCAAGACCATCCTCTCCTCCCCACACCTCAAAAGCGCGTTCAACAATCTACAGCAAAGAATGTTAGTACCACTAATATCAAAACCTAACTGATGATGATGTTCTTAACCCTTTGAATCCTGTGAGTGACCAAGACAAAATTTCTCCTTACTATATCCACACAATATCATCCAGACAAGTGATGAGAATAAAGAAAAATATCAATTATGGGATTACTGATTGATCTGATACCAAATTCTCAAAAATAACAACGAGAATCAGTTGGCTGACAGTAAGGAGAATTACTAATGAGATCTTGGGAGTTAAACAGTTAATGAGATTAGTGCTGGACACTAGCTGCAATTCTGATAACCTATAAGTGGACCCTCATTAATTGTGCTTTGGTACAAGCATTTCTTTGCCTTCTCAAAAATATCAGGCTTTGAGTAATGTGAGCCTCTCATTATTAGTGCCAGACCCCCCCTGCAAACCTTTCCGCAACTCATCTCAGTCATACTGGCAAACTACATTTCTGACATCATATTTAGTATATTACTCAATCAAATACTGCCCTTGAATAAATTCAGTGCTCGGTAATATGTCGCAGATAGTAGCAGAAAGGGGAATGACCCACCTGCGATTTTAGATAGAGTTTCATTTCTCCCCTAGAGTGATGTGGATTCTTTTTTAAAATGAATTTCAAAGGTGGCTCTCTCTTGTCCAAGTCACAGTCTTTTAAGAGAAATTGCTGAGAAAAAATGTTAATTTCAAATAACCATGAAGTATTTGTAAGAGTTGAAAAAATTTAGTTTTTAATGATTTCAAACCAGCTAAATTTGACTTTTCCTTTGTTCAAATTAGAATTTCATACATCTTCCATGAAGAACACAAATCAATCTAGTTTGAAATATGCTCACTCCGACAAAGGGCTAACACTCAAAACATCAGCTTTCAAACTATAAGTTGATAATACTATATCTACCCTGTTATACTCTCCCCCTGACCTAGCACCACAGTTTCTTTAGAAACTTACCCCCTAGTTTGAAATAGTCTCAACCTGAATTCCTTATTTCCTTCATGTTGTTCTTAATACATTTCCTATGGCATGGATGAGGGAGTCAAGTTAATAATCAATAGCTCCTTTAAGTTTGTGATCATTTCCTTAATTCTCATGAGCCTAATGTTGGATTCAGCAGTGATACCTTAGTGAGAAATAAGATGCCAGTGACCCTTAAGGTTAGAGGGTTGACGTAAAACCTATCCGTTTTTGTTAACTTACAGCATTTACAGCAATAACACCTGTAAGAGTTGTTTGTGTAAATATCTGTTTACAGAATACTTAGAAATCCTTTTGTAAATTTTGTTGAAAATTAAACAGATCCACACCTCCTTAGCTTCTGTCTTTGTTATTAGTGAATGCTTTTCATCAGGGTCTCTACAAAAGAGAACAGTATGTTAGAAATTACTCAAAAATGCTACTTAATACTGCAAAAGGATTTTAAAAGTAATTCATAGCCAAGAAAGCTCTAAATAAATTGCTCCACCTACCTACAATTATCACAAACATAAACCTCGAAGTTTTTGTAGATGTATGATGTCAGGAATTCTTTTTGGCATTCAAGGCAATGCAGCTGATCTCCATAGAGAATGGGTGCTGTTTTGATGGAATCAAAATAAACCTTACTTTAATTATAAACACAGTAAAAGTGATAACTGCTCTGCAGTCTCTTATGGATGTAGATCTATTTTGATCCTCTTAAGAAATCAGTCCAAAGGGGCATGAAAATTTCAACCCCCCCCCCTACATCCCAACGCGCGGGTGAATAATAAATAATCTTAATTTGGTTGCCAAGGTATTTAGCCCGACAGAAATCATTGAGGACACTAAACGATAATACAAAATAAACCAACATTGGTTAAAATACGAAAAAAAATGTATACTGGAATACATTACGTAAGATTTTACGACCCTTCGTCTTCAGGCCTACTCTCCGCTCTATGAACTGACCTGGTTCTCTAACAAGATTATTTCTCTCTCCTTGGCTTTCATCTTCCTCCGGGTCTAATAAAAACCCACCCCCTGTATCAACAACACGAGATATTGTCGCAGAGGCCTCACTGCTACTGTTAGCCTTGGATGCATCGCCATCTCGCAATTTCATTTCTGGATAAGGTCGATTGGAAAGCCTTGCATTGCGAAGCATCAACGCCCTTTGGCGATTCCTCTCAATACGAGCCTTTTGTGCATCTGTAAGTTTCCTCTCTGCCATATTGAGATCATCGATTTTAGTGGGAAGATTCCTCCAGATCAGTCGCTCGCCATCTTGAACATTGTGCTTGGCTACTAAGCCAAATCATAATAAGCCGCTGCCCGTAACATACAGTATCGCGGGCGAGTTACTCTGATGAAAGTTACTTCTCAGGAACTTCCCAGCTAAGCATTCTTATTTAGCTGAAATTTGGTGATTTACATGAGTAGTCATTGCGATGCTTAAAATGTTGAGCTAATTATAGTTCACACTATTTGCAAAGTTTTTCAAAAGAACGTGGAGATTTGTCGTAAGCCGTTTAAAGGCGTGAAGTGAAGATTGAACATGGCGGATCCTGTGAGCAGTTACGATGCCAAACTGCTGAAAAACCTTGGTGGTGTTGGGCTTGTGATGACTATTATTTTCACCTTATCGGTATGTTGGTTAAAATGGTATCATATGGTATCCCCTCGACCTTCAATAAAATCAGATTTTCATTTTTTACTCTTTTTTAAATGTACAAAGGTTGTACTGCTCATTGCGATAATTGTGAAGCGGCAAATGCTGAGGATGTTGCTACTTTCAAAAAGAGGACCACACTCCCCTGTTGGTAGTGATGCACCCAGGGTAAGCTACAGTACAGTGATCTTTGGTGATGTTGGACAATAAGTCTTTGAAATGGGTCAATTACAGTTGTTTAAAACCAACCAAACACAGAGAAGAACAATGCTTCATAAACTGACACATTATCAGACCACCTCACCACCTAAAGGAGACTGGACTGGCAGTCTGCCATTGAAATGGTGGAATCTACTTTGGATTTGAGACCCTTCTGAGATAAATGATAATACATATACGTCATTATTAGCAACATTAACAGGCTAATATTTACTAATGAACTGGATTGCAAGCTCAGCTTTGCTATTTGGTTCTTTAACCCTTTACACCCTAACATCGGTATGCACAGTTTCCATACTATTATCTACAGATTTCCTAAGGTGCTGACAAGGATAATTTGTTTAACAATCAAGGGCTTTGTCGGTTGATAATCATTTCCTTTATTCTCATTATCTAAAATGAATGATTCAGCAGTTTAATTGTCTGGAGAAACTAGATGCTGGTCACTCTTAGGGTTTTTAAAAAGGGTTAACCAAATAAAATTGAATTTTTCTCCTCAGAATTTGGGAAGAGAGATTACTGCTCATTTGCAAAGAATTTCCCAGTTAAGAATGGAACCTAGGATGTTATCGGAACAATTCAACAAACCCGCAGATGGTACATCTAACTTTGATTCTCCTTCAGGTTAGTGCCGTAAATATTGTGTAGATATTTTTTTTTTACAGGCTGTAAGTGCTATTTTTTGTTTCAAGAAAATTCTGCCACCAACAATCATCAATCTGCATGGGGTTGGTGGACTATAACCCCAATTTCAGGCCTTCACATATGTACTGTGCCTGTCAGACATGTTCTCACTCAGATGGCATAAACACAAATCATAGGTTCATAAAATTATAGGCCTAAACTTACTCAAACTCTCTTGCAAGAGTAGAAACAGGAGATATTGTAGCAGAAACCTCACTGCTACTGTTAGCCTTGGATGTATTGCCATCTCATGATTTCATTTCTGGATAAGGTCAATTGGAAAGCCTTGCATTGCAAAGCATCAACACCCTTTGGTGATTCCTCTCATCCATTTTGAATGAGGTTTCTCTAGGGACTGTTAAGCTTTATACTAAGGGTGATGTGTGTAAAGGAGATTCACAAATGCTTCATTATGCATGCATCTTCCTGATCAGCCATTTTATTCTTAACAGATCAATACACCAGAAGCTATAAATACAGAATGAAAGCCATGGATAAGATGACAGAACTAGGTCTGCAAAATGTACCAGTTTTCTTGTTTTATTTCTTATTAATACCTTGTCACTTCTAGCTTTAAGATATACAAGCAGCTTTGACTTTCAAAAGCAGTGTAATTTCTCAATATCTTTCTCTACCACAGATGATCTTTTATGCACTATTGACTTCAAGTACAGCCGCAAAAAGAAACAGCCAGTCAGAGAACACCTCAAGTCTTTACAGGGGCCGCCGAACAATATAATACGTGGTGGAGATGACACAATCAGAGAAGTTGCAGATATGTATGAACATGCAAGATTTGAAACCAAGGTACTAAACAATATAATTAATTTCCATTTGGTAGCAAAATATATCCTTAAATCCATTGGCACCAAAGCGAAAAAAAAAAAAAAAAAAAAGGGGGGGGGGAGGGAGAATGAAAACAATCCACTCCCCCCCCCATTCCCACATGAGAAATCATGGGAGGAGAGAGCTCAAAGAAATATTTGTATCATAATTTGGATTGCTGGAGAAAAAAAGTAACACAAGTCAGCATATGGTAATTTAAAATTGTTTTTAAAGCTTGATGACTAGTGGAATTACCATCACATGGATTAAACTAGATCTACTTAAGTAGCGTAGTGTTGAGTAAAATGTTAATTTGTCTTATCTTTAAGGAATTTGGTGCATTGCAGTACAGAAAGTTTGCATATCTTGTTGAAGAGCTGAAAGACAGGTGTGGTATCTTAGGTGTATTGAAAATTACAAATCACAATGATGTGCAAGTGTATAACAGTGACTAATACTGCCTGTCTCATTTAAATGCAAGCCTTAGACCATATGATGTCCCCTCTTTAGAAGGGTTGTCTCTCTTCTGTTGATATTCTCTAGTCATCTTTTTCAGTCAAAAAACTTTTTGAAGTAATTTTATGTGGAATTTTCTTCTTGAGTGTTGGTTAATTATGAATAAAAATCTATTACATGCAAATAAAAGTTAATTTGAAAGAAATTCAATAGAATTTTAATACTAAACTGTATGATTTATGCAAATCTAATCCTGTTCTATATTGGTCCTAACTAAAATTGATCTAAATCAAAATAATTTTTCTTTAAACACAGATAAAAAAATGAACTTAAAAAAAATGATTAAACCTCTTCGATTTTTCTTCATTTTTTGTGCCTAGGGTGAAAGATGAGTACCAGTGTCCCAATGTAGACACACTTGTGTCTCCTTCTGTTTCTCAATTTAACAAGAAAGGAAAACCTGCACTTGTCTGATCTCGCAATCAACCTCTTTGTTAGTATATGGTCTTATTAATTCCCATGAACACTCGACTTATGACTACCCTTTACTACCTAGGAGAGCCATCTTACAGCTTCTTCTTCTTCTTGCATGCAGTTAAAGTAATTTTTATCAATATTTTAATATTGTTTTGTAATCATAATTAATTGCTCTCTTGTTACTCATCATGAATTTGCTTGCTAATTTTAAAGTAATTTTTAACCTGCATTATGCCAAAATTTCATTAAATTGCAATCCTCATTTCCTAATTTTTCTTTTGCATAACATATAAAATATCTGCCTCATTTGAGAGTATTTTATTTTTCAAGTAAAGTTCATGAGATGAACACAAAGCAGGTAATCAAACAAAGTATATTTACAAGTTCACTAATACCACAAACTAAGGTAGTAGTTTTTTAAATTAAAATTTAATGAAATTATAAATACGTAAACATTACTTCTAATAAATATCACTGTGATGCTAAACCTTTTATGATATTTTTTGTATGTTTCCTACAGCTCTCAGGTAACAAAAAAAAACATTGCTGTTAACATAAGCTAATAAACTCAATTATTGATAACAGAACTTAATAAGTGCCATTATTTCAAAGAGAGTTATTTAACCCTTTAACTCCCAAAAGTGATTAACATGTAACTTTTCCCTTAGTATGAAGTCCATACATTATCTAGTAAACAAGTAATGAGAACACTTTTATCAAGTAAAAGTTGTTATCTTGATCTAACACCAAACTCTTGTAACTAATTTACAAGGAAATGTCGAGCAGCTTTAGGGGAGAATTAACAATCAGATGTTGGGAGTTAAGGGTTCACATGTCATTTAGTTAAATGTTTCATGTTTTTTGTTTAATTCTCTTTTTATGTGGTTACTCTATCTGCGACAGTTGTTCCATTCACTGCATCCATGATGTAAGTTTGTTTTTCATAAATTTGTTCAGGGTACGTCTTTATGTAAATGTTCCTGGAAGTCTAATAATTGCTGGAAACAGTAAAAAGCCAATCAGAAAGCCGCCATCAAGCACAAAGATAGAGGAACCAAGTATGGAAGTAAAAGCAATACCAGAAACAGAAGCTGATTCTGGGAACATGACAAGAAGTGGTGCCATGAGCATGTGAACTTTAACAAACTTGGAGACCATTTGACTTTTCAGGAATTCTCTTCAAAGACCTAAAAATTTCTTATGCCTGTTTACAGGAAAGAAAATTTTTGCTCTTTAGTAAGAGGAAGTAGTTAAGTTTAATTTTCTGAAAAAATGTGACATCTTAAAAATAATGCAATATATGACTGGAAGAATGTTCTAGGGGAACCTGTTCAAAGAGCAAAAGGTGTCAGTATTGGAAAGGCCTCCAGCAGAGTGTTGATTTTAGCTGTGGGCTTTCATCTGGGATCTTGATTTGCATATTTTGCTTTAGGTAGATTTTCTCAGGAACCAATACTAATATTGAATAAAGCTTTGTTAGCTTATTGTCTACTGAGTGATGCTGTACAGTTTGTTTTGCTGGTAATTCAGCAAAGCAAATAACTACCAAAACAAAATCTGTAAAAAAAAAATTATTATTTACATAATATATACTTTATAAGCTTACAGTGATACATAGTTTTCTGTGGTTTCTTTAGTCACCATCATCCTCACTGTCCATTTTAAAGGGCCTTGCATTATATTCTTCAGGGTCACTGTCATCACTTGAGTGATTCTCCAGAACTGTTTCTTGATACCTTGTACATATAGTTAAGTTTTTGAAAGATATTTAACATGTACAAATCATGTCTATCCTGTATTTAAATGAAACGATCCAAGTTGAGCAATTCAAGCTCAGCAGTGTTCTGTCTGTGCAAGCAAGATTAATGCCTTCAAGACCTATTTTAAAAGTAGGAAAACAGGAAGCATGTCTGAAAGTACTTGGGCCCTCCAAATGGTAGAGTCTAGGCACAGTCCTCAAACAGTTTCTGCAATTATTTTACATGTCATAATGATGCATATGAAAAGCATTTGAAGAGCATGTAATAAATGAGATCCCTTTCAAATAGTGTTTCACATGCTTTTCAACAATGTGTAATTTTTTAAATTAAATTGTGAAAACTTATATTCACAAGGGCTTCAAGAGTCAAGATTGACTGTGATTTGTAAAGGAACACAAACAATCTGTTACTCAGTTTTTCCTGAGGAGCTTCTGAGTAACAAGAATCTGCTTCTTGTACATATCCCCTGGCATCTCCTGATAATTAATTTGTGTGTACAGTAATTAAATTTAACACAAAATTTTTCCTGTCATGTTAAAGGAAGCAGTAATAAAGGATACTGAAGAGGATTTGAAACTTGCGTTGAGTGGTATGTTCCAACCTGATAGCTTTGTTCTCTAAGCTTCATTGTTGCTTGTTGAGCTTGAAGATCCTACAAATAAGCAAATATTATTGGGTAATGGCAGAATAATTTTCATTTCAGAGTTCAGAATATTTAACTAAAGGTTGTAAGCTTTAGGCTTCTATTTATCAATTTGATCATGAGCTTGACATTTCTATTTCACTGTAGTAGATGAGGGAAGAGCCAGGATAAACCATCACAGAAATTAAGAGCAAATAATAGAACTGTTTCAGTATAAATCAACTGATCCTTCAAAACTTCGAACCAAGACAAGCTTGTGCTTTTGTGCATGTTTTTGTTTATGAGCAGACTATGTTAGGTTATCTATGAATCACAGAATAGACTGCCAGTAACATAACCTATCAGGCTACAGCATTTGTAATGGAACATTTGTAGATTTATACTTATAACCATTATGCCCACCAAATTTCAACTACGTGTTACATGCTGAGTTCACACTTGGTTCATTTAGCCCCTTCTAAAAGCCTTTAGTTAGTATTTACCTCAGATTAGTTGATTGAAATATTTGATTTGGAAATGTGAGTTTAGTTATACTGCTACAAAATTGTCATGATACACTCAAAGTAGAGTCTAAAATGAAACCTGATTGTGTGCTAGTAACGCATTTGTTATTGTGTGTGTAATTCACACCTTTCGTCTTTTCTCTTGTTCTTGTTGAAGTTTAAAGGATTCTTCTAACGAAATTGGCTTCGCTATCTGTGGAGAAAGAACTTTTAGAATGAGGAATAGGAACTGCACATTAGATTTTGAGTATTATCTGAACAAATATTCATTTTAAGGATCTCCCCCTTTGTCCCACACAAGTTCAAGTATTTTTTGAGACAAAAAAAAAGAATTAGTTTCATTCTGAGCCTCAGTGACACCCCTGCATCTAAACATGGGTAAATACCCTTTCCAGACCCTTCCTTTCCTATAGCTATCCTTGGCCTGTTTAATCAAAGAAGTGAGACACATATAGCAACAGCTCATTTTCAGCCTGTGCATAATTGCCTTTAGAACATGTGTTGATCTCAGTGCAATAAAGGAAGGCAGAGTCTTCCTGTTACCTCAAACTTATATGTTGCAGGTGTTGCAGCTGACTTGTAATCCCATGTTCTTCCACCTGAAGACTTTGAATCCATTGCTTCCTCATGTTGACTCCCACTTGATTGGTTATTTACATTAGCAGTGTCTTGGTGATCGGAGCCTGACAGCATTCTATCATTATCATCACTATCATCACTGTCTAACAAATCAACTCTTGTTTTTTGGACAGGCTGTGACACTGTCAACTTCTCAAACTGTGCATCGATATCTTGAAGTTCTAACTTTTCCCTCTGAGAAATCAGATCCTTGAGTCGTTTGACTGTCTCGATTATCTTCTTGCCTTTGTCAGGTAGACTTTGCAAGAACTTCCTGTATTAAAATTGCAAGTACAAATAGATGAAAATAATGAGCCATTTAGGCGGAAAGTCTATGACCATGCATTTAAAATTCTGGGAAATAAGAGGAAATGGAAGACCCACTTATTAACAAGCTTTTCTTGTCTTTGTAGCATTTCCAACAGCTCCTTTGTCGATAACTTGCTCCAGTCTTTTTTCTCCGCCATGGGTTTTATAGGTAGGAACTACAAACAGTAACTACTGCTCCACATTTCACAGAGTCATCCAACTTACGATGAAGGATGCACCGGACCATGTGTTAGCCGGGTTGAAGATGTGATAATTTCTGAGTAGATCTATGATACAAAAAGTAATACAAAAAGTGAGTCATTTGTATCATGTCGCGGTCGAGTGAACATCTTTGTTGGCAGCAAGGTGGGGTGATTATAAGTGGAATGTAATGAGGATTCACTGTCTCTTGCCGTTCCTTCGAAAGTAAAAAAGTGTTTACGGGCCTGCACGAATCCTGTCATTCCTCTGTGACGAATTCGCTCTTAGGAGGCAACTGACAAGATTCAGAAAGAATCGAAACTGCAGTCTTGCCTAAGAATCTACACAAATAGCAGTAGTTACATTCACAGCCGATGGCTGTGTAAATGATAACAAATTCAGAAAATACATTCATAGACACGAGTTACATATTAAACGCATTACAAAGAAGCAAAGACCTTCTGCAACGAACTTTTTTTTGGCGTCATCCACCCGATCTATGAGGAAAGATTCGTGATCAAGGGTTAGGAAAATATAATCTCCATCTACCTCCACCATATTGCTTTGGAACCACTCAAGTTATTGGTTATGTCCGCTGACTTCCGCTGACTGACTGATGGCCTCCTCTCCAATCTCTTGTCGATCGTCTGCCGAGATTCTCTATCGACTGAAGAAAACGCACAGAACAAACAACGGGTCGGTTGAAAAATCAACTCCAGTGCATACAAAAAAATGTCCATGTTCGACAACAAATTACAATTGACTGCTTCCTGTTGGATTTTAAACTTAATTTTAGTCTCTTCAGCAACAGGAATCCAAGATGCTTACGTCAAAGGTACGCGATTGTGAAAATGAATCCAGGAAAATAACTTGTTTTGAAAATTGTGTTCAATCTATTACAACAACTTATCAAAGATCATTTATAAGTTCTTTTTTCTCTATCTTTTTTCAAAAGCCATAACTTTTTTCCAGTTGGCTTTCTGTCCTCTTTCTCTGAAGAATTTAATGGTCGATCTCCACAATGTTCAAAGGTTTAAGTTTTCGGCGTATAAGTCGGGAGCTTGTCACAAAAACATTAACTTTCAGTTTTTATTGTCCTTAACAGAGATCATCGCTCAAAATGTCAGATATTACGAGGCCATAGATTACGATGCAACTGATGTGCATAAACAGCACCTAGAGGTGCTAAATTCCTCGAAAAATTCTGCCGTCGCAATCAACTTCTGGGCGTTTCAGAGGTATCATATCGTAATTATTACAAAGTAATAGTTTACATTTATTTGTAAACAAATGGAGATGCTGCACTTTGCAGTCTAAAAGAAACACCAATTCTTAATATAATTGAATTCTTGTTCACGAGTCTTTCAAAGTTTACGATATTTCTATTAACTTAAGTACTCTCTGGTCATGAAAGTTTGTTTTTGCAACTAAATTTCCATCCAAAGAAACTTCCAGCTATCGCTTAATCAGCACCAGAGATTGTTCACAAAAACTGCGAAGTTTCGAGTCCTGACGCAGAGCTCAGAGCGCACAAGTGATTACGATCCAAGGACGGCTTACACTGGAACCGTGAAAGGTAACAATTCAGTGTGCATACTCTTTCGTAACGGAAAAAATTTTTAGGAATATATTTTCCTCTTTTGTGACGTGACTTGCAAAAAGTGTCATATTTTGTTATGAAAAATATTGATATAGGCTATTTTCAGAGCATGAAATAAAGCGTTAAATTGCTGGGTTGTCGGTTGGCAATATTACAGTTTCTGCTACGGCAAACTCGGTTATATTGTCAAATAACTTGCAAGAATTCACAGATGCTATTAGATAGTTATAGGTTGTTTTTCTGACTTCTTTTTTCTCCTCTATTTAGGAGATGCGAATTCCTTTGTCATGGGTCACTTGATAAACGGACGATTTGATGGAAGTTTCTTTGCATTTGGTGAAACTTTTCATTTGGAGCCTATCGAACGGTATACTCACTTCAAGACATCCTTTCATTCAATCATTTTCCCCACCACAAGTGTCAAGATTAATTTCTCCAAAATCGAAAGAAAAATGGCCCGCTTTAAAGATCTTAAAAAATTGAAGAGCCAGGTGAGATAGATATATAAATATGAAACAATCGCATCGACACTATTTCGATAGAATAAATTATCCCCAGTATTGAGCAATCACCAGTTTTTCTCAAATTCGTTTATGTTACAGGTTACCAGTAAACGAGTTCGCCACAGCGACCCCAGCAGCTCCAATCTCAACACATGTACTGTTTACCTTGCCGCAGACCATACATTCTTTAAGGAAGTGGGCTCGGGTTCTGAAAGAGTCACAGTAGCAGAGATGGTGTATCACGTGGCAATGGCTGATAAGATATTCAGGGGAACAGACTTCAACCAAGATGGCGGGCCTGGAGATGGAATTGGATTTGTCGTAGCCGCTGTCACTGTGTTTAAAGATGCGCAAGCGGAAGGTGATAATAGTACTTTGAGTCTAAAATCTACCTTGATGACATTTTATCAAAGAGAATACCTTTACTCCGTTTGATTTGAAAAATCTGGCGAATTTTGCGATGTTCCAAACTGCCTCACTCTAATGCCCATTCATCGAAACAGTTTCAATCACGTGACAAATGTTAAAGGTGAGCTCTCATTTCCTGCATTTCCAGTTTCAAACTCTCATATTTTTATACAGATTTAGGGGAAAGAATTCGCGCTGAAACCCTAACAGCACTGAGCTCGCCTTTGGAAAAGTGAGGCGAGTGACAAAATTGGAAGTTGAAAAACCAGGGGCAGACATCATTTGCTTTCCCTCCTTAGTTGTTCATTCAGGTGGCTCGTTTCCTGAAAGGCTGACGTTCTCTTTTTTAATTATCATCGGTCCTCTTCTCACACTTTCTGTCAATTTTAAAATATCCGTGACTTTTGCAGGTTCTTTGGAAAGCCCAGAGGATATCAGTATGATGTCATACCTTATCAAATGGAGCGAGATTGATCATGACGACTACTGCTTAGCTTTGCTCTTCACAAACAGAGACTTCCCCGGCGGGGCTTTGGGGCTAGCGTGGATTGCGGACTCTGATCACATGAGCTCTGGAGGTATATGCTCCACGAGGATGTTCTTTGATGAAAAAGAAGAGGCAATGTACCTAAATACAGCAGTAGTAACGCTATTAAACTATGGAGCTCGAGTACCGAGGAAGGTCTCAGTTATTACAGTAGCGCACGAATTGGGTCACGGCTTTGGATCTGAGGTAAATATGAATTTAAATTTTTAGGATTTTCCGGGACGCTTTTTTGATTGCATATGAACTTGGGTAGGCCATGTAGACAAGGGGCACTCAAGCACGAACGAAGTGTAATCACCCCGACCAGGACTCGCACCAGGACCTCTCGGTCAGGAGTTTGTCCAACAGGTGAGAGGTCTGTCACTCTAAGGTAAGCGGCTGCATTTTTATCTGAAATAAAATATTTACTCCCATGTTGGTCTTGAATTTTATTTTCCATAGCATGATCCAGCTACGGCCCAATGCTCCCCAGGAGGAAAAGTGGGTAACTTCATCATGTATCCAAAAGCAACCGACGGAAATGAACCCAACAATTATCTGTTCTCTTCCTGTAGCAAGCACGATATGTCTTCTATTATCTCTTTTAGAGGACCACAATGTTTTATCGGTGAGCTTTCTAAGTCAAGAAATACTCGTCGCGAAATCAAATTGAAAATCAGTTTAGCCTTTGAAATACTGGGATTAAACTTACAGGCCTTCGTCCTTGAGGGCATTTTTTTCTGTTTCGTCTGTCACGCATGCAAATTTCAAGCTCGAAAAATGTTACGTCATCTTTTTGCCAGAATATTCTATCGACAGTATGCCACTGAAGGGGGGGGTTAAGGGAGAGGAAGAAGGAAAAAGAGAAGGGAACGGAGAGCAGTCTTTAAGGGTACTGACACAAAAGTGATAGTTATAAGTGATAACAACCCACTCTTTCGTGACTTGATAAGAGAGCGCCATAAAACCACTGAAGGGTTAATCCCGGTTAAATTATTTTCATGCAACTGGCAGGCCTAAATAAATCTTCATGTTTTTTTTTCAAGCTCATAATAACGGGTCGTATTGTGGCAATAAAATCGTAGAAGAGAATGAAGATTGTGACTGTGGAAGTCCAGAAGAATGTCCCATAGTCGACAAGTGTTGTGTGGCACGAAATGACGCCTTGAAAGTACCTGGATGTACAATCCAGCCGGGGAAACAGTGTAGGTATGTGTCATGTGGTAACCTGTTCGTATAACGTTATCATGACGAATAGACTTCGTTTGCTATCTCTTCTCTGAACCATGGATGAAAAAATTTAAGCCACCCAGGTACACAGCGAAATTTTTAAACAATTCATTTACGGACAATAACTATTTTTTAAGAGCCGTACACGTAAGTCTTAAATACAAATGTGATAGTTTCAAAGAAGGAGAAGATTATCCCAGTAACGAAAATTGTTCTACGAAAAGACGGAACTGGGAAGAGCAGAACTGCCATCTCAGCAAGTTATTACTAGGAAACTCAGAAAACCGTGAACGCCTCCGGATTTGATTCTGACACATCAGTCACCAAAAGTTCAGGAAACGCCGGCAAACTTCAAAATCACAGACTAATCAACATTATTGTTTGCAGTTTGGTTTTCTTACGCCTGGTTGTCTTTTGAATTTAGAAACACAACAACATTTCATGAGTTTTTCTAGAGTTTACGAATTTTTGAGTTTTACGTTAATTGTTGTTTATGTTTCAGTAACATGGCAGGAAAATGTTGCACAGAGGATTGTACTTTTATCTCAGCATCTCAAGGACTCGTTTGTCAAGCCGAAACAGAATGCAGTAAAATTTCTATTTGCGAATATCCTTTGATTAAATTAGGTTGGATTAATAATTAATGAACGACTCACTCTCATCAAAATTGATCAATGCCATTAGTTATGTTAAAAGTCATACTTTAGACAAGGGTTTTTTAAAAAAGATCCTATTGACCGTGATCACAATCCATTCACCAGTAATTTTCAATCACCAATTTTTGCTCCAAATGTTAATGAGCAATGGGCAAGGACAGAAATTTCTAATGACAGGACAAGTACACTCTAAAACTGAATCATTTTTCCTCCCCGCCATTAAGAACATAAGAAATGGTGATATCGTGCGCGTTATGAGATTCAAGCAGTAACCTAACTTCTCTCAAAAACTGTCTAAAACGTGCGCTAAGAATTCGGACATGAACGCCACCGTTTTAAATCTCACTTAGCAACCTGGCCGCTTAGCTTTGACGTAGCAAAGTTTCCCCCTTCTACGGATGACTTTAAATAGAAAAGATCAAAATCAAATTGTTTCTTGAGTATGCTTCTCCTTAACCTTATAACCTCACGGAGTGACTAGCACCCAATTTCGCCTCACAGTATCTCACAGCTGAATAAAACAACATAAAAGAACAATATAAAAGAAACTCTTGATTGTTAAGTTAGTCTCATAGGAGATATAGGGATAACAGTATGAATAATATATATATTGATGTCAGGATGTAAAGAGTTATGTTCTTCAACTTTTCCTACTGGTCAGAATGGGCGTTGTCCCCAGGCTGAGTTAAAACCGTACAATGTAACATGCAATGCAGGGTCGAACACGTGTCAGGAGGGTGCTTGTATTGGTTCAATATGTGCACTGTATGGGACCAACGAGTGTGAATGTCATCAGAACAGAGAAGAAATGTGCCATGTCTGCTGTAACAGCAGTTATGTAAGGAACAATGCTGTTATTAATACTGATCCTGCTCTCAGACTCCTACTATAAATGTTACGAGCAACCTTAATATTGCATTTTTCTGTGTGACTCTTAGGGAGTTTGCATATCCGCTCAGCATTTCCTGGGTCGAGTCATCGTTAAACGTCCCGGCAGCACTTGCAAGCGTCACCAAGGTTACTGCGACACGTATAGTTTGTGCGTCACTGTGGACAGTGAGGATCAAATCAACACACTCAGGGATGCTTTTAAGAGATTTTTCTCCAAGGAAACTACGAGTGACCTATGGAGCTGGATAAAAAGAGAATGGTACACGCTTTGTTCAGCTGTTGTTAGTTTATGTGGTTTGGCCTCAGACATTTACCGCTCATATAAAATTCTAACCAGCGTGAAGGTTCTCAGCGCTACGAGCCGATAGTGGTAATACCCTCGCAAACCCCTCATAAGTAAGCACGCTCACATCGCCTACCCGCACTTGTTCCAGAGCCAATGATGGCCTGCTCGAAGGCTTCTGAAATTTCAGTCACATGAACTCGGTATTCGTGTGAGGCACAGAGGAAGGGATAAGGGGGGGAAAGGGGGGCGGGAGGAGGGCAACCAAGTGAAAAGAAGGGTAGGTTGGTGCCAGTGCTATCGTCAAGAGAAATTAAGGAGACAGAGAAGGAGGTTCAGCCAGGTTAATTATAGGAAGTTTCTCGAACGAAAGTATATTCACTCCCGAGACGTCTGTATAGGGCTCAATATAGGAGCTGTTGTATTTTTTTTCTTCAAGTCAATCAAACCATTTTATATCACTGTTTTTTTAATTAACAAGTTCTAACGTAATGAACGTTTCCAAATCTCTACTGTAGTTTCGGATTTCATTAAAGGAGATATCTAGAAAGCGGACAAAAAATCACCCTATTTTTGAATACAAAAACTTTGATAGATGCTTACCTCGCCGAAAAAAAATAGGGCAATATGGCAGATCATGCATCACTTAACTTAACGATGAATCACGTAAGGATAAAAAATTATTCATTCTTCATTGTCTTGCTAACGGATTGCTTGATCGTTTGTAGGTATTATGTGGTGGTTATAATCGTTGGCATATGCCTGATCGTGATTCTCCTAAAGTTCACTTCCCACGGAGGAACTCCTCTGCTAAGTGCAGAAAGAAGAGCAGTCTTACGAAACATAGCTCGCAATCATCTTGCCAATCAACATACAAGAACTCGCCAATTGTCTGATGATGAATTTCAAGATACAACTGAGGGAGGAGACCTTGGTGACGGAAGTAGCAGCAGCTTGCAGCAACATTTGCAGTCTTTATTCCCTGAGGCAACAAGCCGTGACTTGCAGGAAGCCATCCGGGTCTGTTCTTCTGAGCAGGATGTAATAAACCATCTTCTCAGTCAAGGCAACACACTGAAAACATAGTTAAACCCGCAGGTAATTTTCGTGTACTTCGTGGTGAGAAAGCACAACTTTTGTTAAATCCGTCGAGTATACTGTAACCCTTGAAAGTGTCACGTTGCAAAGACCAGACACAGCTGATGGAGGAGGCGAATAACATTGAACGCAATTACACAGCTCTGACCCAATAATGAACATTTCTTCTATCCATCGCTACTCGCAAGCCTGTGAAAATCTCAAGGCTTTTGTTATCAGCTGTGATTCCTGAAATAAACCCCAGTTATTCTTTTAAGCAGGTCTACCGCCTTCATTATTTAAACTCATCGAGCGCGCAAAAATCCCCAGCAACTAAGGTTACGCTTGTGCCATGCTGATTTTTTCAACGACTTGCAATAATGGCCTCTCAATCTACAAGGGATTTATTAAGCACTACTGACAAACTGTTTCTTTCTTTCGCTTTTCAGATGCCATGTCTTCCTAAAGACAAAAAAAAACGTCCTCAGGCTCAAGCAGTTACAGCACCAAAAACATTTTATTATTGTTTCAAGGGAAGATGTAAACCTAATATGCAGTTATCTTATCAGAAATATTAAAAATACCCCTGATGATGTTACTGTGAATAGACAACTCTCACATTTGATATCATTTGTAGTCGAATTTTAACAAACGTCGTCCTTCACTTTACAAAACAGCTAACTAAGTAGCTGGTCTCCTGTTTAGCCCTCTTTGATTTGATAACATGTCTTCTTTTCTTTGCGCAAATTATGAGGCACCTTCTAACTTCACGAAAGCTTCCAGCAACTTTATGCAGTATTTACTTCAAAACAAACACAAAGTCCCTCCCGTCGGCAACATAAAGATGTCCATTTTTAGAAACAGCAACATACTGCGGGGACCAAAAGCCAAGAATAGTTGTAAGATACTCTCCTTCCAAGGTAAAACACCTGCAACCGGCTGGCCTGAGTGTCACAAACAATCAAGTTGTTGAACTTATCGACAGCAAGACCTGAAGAGAATTTTAGGCCCTTCACCCTATCTGCCGTCAGTTTGCCTATGCTCTAGGGGATGTTTCCATCATTACTGAAAACCAGTACGCAGTGGTTCTTCTGGTAAAAAACATAGAACTTGTCTTCATGATGAATTGCAAACGAAGGACATCCTTTTAAATTGGATAACCAAAGCTTTTCAGCAGCTATTAAAACTTTAATCAATTCATCTACAATCCGCTGCCACATTTCTGCGGGCCGCTTCAACTTGTTTTCCTCTACTTTGAAGAATATATGTATTCTTCCCTATTTCGTCTTCACAATCGACGATCTCGTTTCCCGCTTTTTTTAAAGCCTCCTCAATTTTTCTTTCTTTCCAGCAACTTTGTAAACATCGCATACACAATGAGATCGATGGCCCTCGTCGCGACATTTCTGACGAGATAAGCAGCACGCTTTTAAGCTGTCCACAAATTCATCTTTACTTTTGGTTTGGCCTCGTTATCTCGATATCCATCTAGGTAGTGATCTATCAGCTATTGCACATGTATTTTTTCAAATACATCTTGTTATGATCAGTTTATATGGGAACCTTGTTGGTCGCTCATATTTCATCTTTTCTCCCATAGTTTACACTTGTGTAGCTGTGTGGTTGTAAGGGAGGGTTTGACTGTATAAAGAGCTTCAATATAATGTTTATGTTCCACCTTACTCACTGACATTCCTCCATCTTCAAGAGCATAAAGAGCGGCCTAATAATAAAAAAATAAAGCAAATAAATGAGTCACCAAAATTAATACAAGCATAGGTTGAAAATGAAAGACAAAATTCGGATTTATTTCACGGAAAAAATGTCAAAGAGGAGCAAAAGTTTACATTTGAAAAAAAAAGAGAAGTATTCTCCAGATATTTTGCGTCGTGTACAGGTTTTCGAATCCGTTACCTTAATTGAAAATAGGCGCACAATGCTTTGGTTTTTCATTTTTCCTGTTTTTTTGTTTGTTTTTTTCCCTTACTGTTGTTGTCTTTTTCTCCACTAATTTTAAGATTCCTTTCGTTGTTAACTCTTGTACGAGTTTCCTTCAGTCACATGAAAGAAATCGTTCGATGAAAACTTCTTTCCACATGTTATCCTTAACTATTTGACCCCCAAGAGTAACTAACATCTAATTTTTCATTACAATATCTCCCCTGAATCACACATTTAAGCCACGAAAATGAAACAAATGATCACTAACTAAAGAAGGTCTTGATTTTCTGCAACTTAGGAAATGTACAGAGAACAGCGTGTAGAATACGATACTGATTAAGAGTGAAAAGGGTTTAACCTTTTAACTCCTAGGAGAGATGATCAATTATCTTTTTCCAACGATTTTCATTCGTTATCTAACAGAAAGGTTACGAAAACAGAAAAACAGAGAATTTCAGTCATATAGTGTGTTGATCACATCTCGAAAAATTCTCCCAACTAATTACAAGGAAATGTAGGACAGCTAAGATAAAGAGTTTCAAATCAGACCTTGACATCCAATATCTTACCTCTCTACAGAGATTTTCGAGGTCAGCACCTGAGAACAATTCGGTTTTCAAGGCGAACTCTTCCAAATCTACGTCCTCTGCTAAAGGACTGGAACGAGTGTGTACTCTTAAGATTTGTAACCTCGCCTCTACGTCTGGCGGTGGCACATAAATGATGCGATCGATTCGACCCGGTCTGAGAAGGGCCTCGTCGATTGCATCAGGTCGATTAGTAGCTGCGACAACAAGAACGTCTTTCACAGTCGAAGAGCTGATAATATTCAATCTGCGAGTTTTCTGTGATATTTCCACATTGCCGTACTCTACTGATCCTAACTCGGTTCTCATCAACTGTTCGCTACAAGAGTCGCTATCTTTTGTCTGTAGTGAAAAATTTGATTTTCCTTCCTCTGCTCGGTAGATATTTGCCAATACTCCGATACCATCCATCTCATTCAGCAGAGTTGACAGCAGTCGCGCCTCTACCCCAGTACTGCTCGTCCCAGATCGTTTGCCGACGATTGCGTCCAATTCATCAAGGAACAGAATTGACGGAGCCGTCGCCCGAGCCTTAGTAAACAACTGAGGGAAAACAGCACACAAGTTGAAATTAAGAATTAATATATCAATCAATCAGGCTCACATTTGACTGTGCATGCTGTATTTAGCTAGGATTAGCAATGTTTTCAAATAATCCTGAACGGCGAAAAAAAAAAAGGAAGACAACTGATTTCTTTAATGAGAAAAAGTTCTCTGGACTGCCGGTCCACGCAAACCACTCCTTCACGTAATTGATCTAAAAAAATAATTGCGCCATCTCCGCAACCAATGACATTCAAAACTAAATAATGGCGACTTGGTCGCTCACTTTTTCCCGCGCTTCAGGCAGTTTGCTAGTTTTAACTCATGGGCTCCGGTATTTTTCTGCACTCTGGTGGCTGTTGTGTACTTCAGTTTTTGTTTTGCGACAAAAATCGTAAAGCACTCTAATGAGAAAAGTTATGCAGCACAGGGGTAGGGGAAAGAGAGAAACTGAGGGGCCCGGTGAAACACCCACTTGATTTTCACCTTAAAATTGATAAAGGGTGATAAACGACATGGCGAATTTAAGATAGAAATAGTCAAGTCCTTTAAGAAGCTGACGTTTTGAGTGTAGGCCATTTGTCAGAGGAGGATGACTTGGGGCTGATGCTGCGTCAATTAACAGCTTTTTTGGATCGTTTTGGAAACACACACTTTCCTCTGACCTCTCGTATTTTCCGTTCTGCATCTCCAACATAAGGTGAGTATAACTGTGCACAGCTGAGGGCCATGAAGGTACATTTACAGGAAGAGGCTGCTGCACGCACAAGGGTCGTTTTACAGCACCCAGGAGGGCCATACAGAAGAACGCCCCTGGGTCGCTTAAGACCAAGACGTTCAAACGACTGTGGGTATTTGAGCGGCCATTCTATCGCCTAAAAATGAGACAGTGTTTAAGAACTTTTATTTACATCAAACATAAAAGAAAATATTTTTCTTAAAAAAAAACCCTCTTCCGTAGGTCTTGTCTTTCGCCTTCGCATCTTACCCTCTGCGTTTACTACTTGAGTTTAGCGTATGTCTCCTTCGTGTCTCATGCTTTGCCTTTCTCGTTCTTCTCCTTCATTTTGCTTTCGTATTCTTCCCTTCTCGTTCACGAATTGCGTTTTGGATTTAGTATCCTTGAGTCTCGCGCCTTGCGTTCTGTCTCAAAATCTCCATTTAAGCCTTAACTCTTTCCTGGCACCGCGAAAACGCGCGAAAAATGACCAGAGTTTTTACATTATATTTCAACAAGCAAAGCCTACAATACCTTGCGTTTGCACCTCTTGCCTTGTGTTTATGTAAACTGTTTCCACATAAACCCCCTTCAAAAGCTTTTATCAGTATCAACACACAAATTCTCCTTATTCAAGATATCTATCCCTCCCAGTACGGATAATTCAGTGATATATCCAGACTACATCCTCCTTTTGATGACGATCTCTGTCTTCTACTCGGCAATCTTTTTTGAAATGTGAATCGCAATCCACCTCCAATTAACACAAGACACAACAAGAACTCGGTAAAAATAATTAAACATGACAAAACATAACTGTACCTGTTTCAATACTTGTTTAACATCTTGAAGACCCCCAATATCTTCCCAACTAACAGAATTAATTTCAACCATTCCTTCCAATCCTCGGTACATGGATGGAACAATATGACACAAGGCCAACTGGAAATCTGCCATGGTTACTTTAGCGACAACATCTATCAGACACAAGTTGAGCCTTTCACTTGTATGACCTATATGTTAATTTACCTAGATAATGCCAAATATTTATTTGTTGCCAAGTCCCGAGAATTTGCTGAACATTATACTCGAAAAGTTTGTAAACTTTGCTCACATCCTCCCAACATACCACGTGGGTTATTAGGCCGGTAAACCGATATATTTATTGTATTGTGTAGCTTAAATGGTCGATAAAGTTTTCCTTTTCAGTTTCTATTTCAGTCTGAGTAAACGTAATGCATACCTGAGCTGTCACTGCTGCTGAAGTTCAGCATCCTTTTCATTGCTACATATGCTGCTTCTCTGCACAGTGAAGCAATATCAGCTCCCACATAACCTACTGTCAGCTCGGCAAGATGCGAAAGATCTACTTCCTCTGCTAACTTGAAGGATCTTGTATGTGCTTCTAGAATGGATAATCGCTGTAAGGCATTGGGTACTCCAATCACAATCTACAATGCACAGAAGCAACAGAGAGAAATGAGATGAGACTCTTTGACTCATTACCTCTCACAAGCGATTTACATGTAGCTTCTCCCTATAATAACCATACATTGATTATTCTCATTACCTGAATGTTGGATAATTTATAGATATTAATTAAAGGGAAAAATTACTTGAGGGACTAAGAGTAATGCAAATGTTTTGATCTTTCAAACTAGTTATCTCAGTGTCTGCTTTAGCAAAGTTGGAAAATGCAAAACAACAACTCAGGAGTGTCTTTTTAGAATTTTCACAAGACTGTCTGCAACACTCTCTGGATCTACCAACATCCAACATACTGCTCATTTTATGACTTGTGGAATAATTGACCCTGCCACAAATAGTTCATATCAAGTTTTATAAGTGCCTGCAGCCCTCCCTAGGTTTGCCATGAAAATGTTTTGAATGTAAATTTTCAGGCCTGGTTTCAAGATGAGGCATGCATCAGTTATTAGTTAGGTTATTCCAGCCTATAGTTTTCATGCCAATCAGTTTTGTTACTTCTGACCTCCCTGTCAAGTCTGCCTGGTCTTCGCAAAGCAGGATCGATAGCATTAGGTCTGTTTGTTGCTCCAATAACGACAAGCTTGCCTCGGGATTCCAAACCATCAAGAAGAGTTAGAAGCTGAGCAACAATCCTGTTCTCTTGTTCATTGCCATTGTTTCCTCTCTTTGGACACAAAACATCAAGTTCATCAATAAATAAAACACATGGATCATGCTGTGAGGCATTCCTAAAAAAGAAGGTAGAAGCATTATAATAAACTTTGCACTAGAATACGACTCATCCCTGTATGAGACACCAGTCCATCACAAATTTACCCCCCCTCAAGGATTTCAACAGGCTTCCCTGACAATTCACTGTTAATCAAATACCTTGCAATCTCAAATTTTTGTCTCAGATTTTCCTCACTCTCTCCTGGATGTGGTCCAAATACATCAGCACCATTCAGTATAATCAACTGTGCATTACACTGAAAAGTTACACTTTTAACAAGAAGTGTCTTGCCCACTCCTGGGGCTCCTTGAAGTAAAATTCCTTTGGGGCATTCAAGTCCTAGGTGTTGAAAGCATTCTGGATAATGGAATGGATATTTAAGAACTTCTTGTAATTCCTTCTCAGCATCATCAAGGCCTGCTAAAATCTGAGTGTTTTCGCTTTCTAGGTAACATCCCCTTCTAACTGACTTTACAGTTATCACTGTTTTATCAGTTACTTTTGCTGCGTTATTCCTCGAAGACGCAGTTGGGGGGTCTGTGGCAATTATTATAATCTTTTTTATTTTTTTAGATGAGCTGTGGCTGTTTCTATATTCTCTTGGCTCAACAACACAACCTTGTATTACTGCTAAACCTCGTAGCAAATTTCGAGAGATTCTTTCTCTTCTATTCTCACGTGTAACTTGGGTCATGCCGTGATCAAAATCTTCAGCTGAATTCGACAAATACAGAGAAATAACAACTGATTTGGCCTCGAAAGTCTCAATAACAACGATTTCGTCGGATGATATGTTCTTCTTGATAGGAGAGTTGTTTATCTGGCACACTCTTGGGTTGTTTCGAAGAGTAACAAGTGTATCGAACTGCAAAAATTTGTTGATCCCGTCAGATCGAGGCCACAATGAACACAGCACAAATCCAGATTCAACTGCGATCCGAACCGGCGAATTTATCTTTCCTTTTATTTTTTCTGCTATCATCGGTGTAATCCGACATCTTGCAGAGTTGAAATCATTTGCTTCACAAGGAACACGAGTTAGTTCGAATTCAGCCAGTTCGTCCGCCATCTTGTATTGACCATCTGAGTGATAAGCTTCTTTTGTAGGGAGGGGACAGTGAAATTATTGCTTATTAAAGTTAATAAGGTTAGATTAGTATTTTGATGCTTCGTGGAATCTTCATTTTTTTTTTCTTTTCTAAATCAAAATAATTCTATAGATTCATTTTATATATCAAGGAAATTCTTAAATCTTAACCAATGTACCTACTTCCCTTCCCCTCCCTAGTAAAAAGAAATCATTTAGGCAGCGAAGATTGCGGGCTCGTAAAAAAACAAGATGGCGGTGGCAATGGTAAGATGTGTCATCCAAGGTTTGTGGAGAAAACAGGTTTTAACAGCAAGAATTTGTACAAGTTTAACAGCTCAACCAGCATGTTTATTTTCAAGTGAATCAGGTAAAGTTCAGAAAGGTTAATTTGTTGTAAGGTTAGACTAAAAGTACTTGATGTCCATAGGTATAAGTTACGATTGTTGCTTCGTGCTTGCGTGTGCAGGCACGGCTTGCTTGCTTAGTTGATTAGTTCAAGTCACGTCCCCCTTCATTTCCAGAGGGAATTTATATGGATTGGGACTACAACTGATGCTTTACTCCTTCTCTCGATGTGAAAGCAGAAGAAACCAAGTTTTGATCTTTGTGTAATCCGTGAATCGACTAAGTGATGGAGTTTGAATTGTTTTAACGCCATCGATTTGCTTCTTTGCTGTGATGACTATGTTGACAAAACTTAAGAATGCAGGGCCTTTTATTAACACCTAATCGAATCGTATTACTAGTATCTATGAGGTATTCCTTGCTTTTCAAAGACTAGTGACAAGGTGGACTTTAATTTAGTAGTGTTATATTCCCAAGTTGCCCTTCTTAGGTTAATTCGACGATGGCCTCTACATCAACCTTATAGGGTACCGGTTTTTTTCTAACGTTTTAAATTTGCCTTTAATTCTTATTTCACATATCGATTAACAGCTTTGAATGAGTGTGAAAAGAGTTGATTTATGGCTTTTCTTGGTAAGCTGTGAGGGGGCAATTACTGTATGTCACATTCCTACCGTGAGCTTGGTCTTGGTCTTACATGATAAAAGGGGGACCCTGTGCAACTGTGTTTAACACATACTCCTCATCAGTCATTGACTACAAGGTCTGGTTGGGTTACTACCTGGAGTCTGTGATGTAGTGCCACTCAATACTTAAGGAAGTCACAATTCTTGGCTTATTGAGTTGACATGATCTTCCTGTTTATTTATTTATTTGTTTAGAGTTTTCTTTCACAAATGTAGTTGAAGGACAAATTAAACAATTAACACAGGAATAATCTATATGCCTGACTGGAATATGATTCAGGCAATCAAGTTTCATTTAGAGAAGTCTGCTTCATCCTGGGAGAATTCCCCAGTCATTTCTTAACTACATGCCCAGAACTTGGCAAACCAGCATGGCTCATCCAAGCTTTCACCATAAAGCAAGACCACCTGAATGTGCATTATAGTTCATTTCAGTTGTTAATCTGACCTCTTGATCCCCCTTCTTGTTTGTAAATTGGTTGGGCTTTATTTTGGTTCAATTCAATATTTTGTATCCCTCAGTGCTGCAAAATTGATGCTTATGGAAACAGACTTGTGCACTACATAAGCATGACAGGATCTGGTACAGAAAAACTGTTTTATTTCATTTCTAGGTAGTGGAGAGCCAAAGCTTTGTCAAGGTATAAATTACTTAAAGGATGGATCTGACCCACCTCTGTTACCAGACAATGAATATCCTGATTGGCTATGGGAAGTTCTTCAACCAAAACAACCAGTGGACGAAGAGCCAGATGACTTAAACAACAAAACTTATTGGAGAAGATTAAGAAAGATAAAACTAAGACAGGCAAATGCTGCCAGGAAGAAAAGGAAGTGAACCTAATTTTGTGATAAAAAGATAAAAATTACCAACCACCAAGAGGTGATTTCAGGTTTCAGCAAACTGTAAATGCGAAACTTGATCAGAAACAACAGCTTTAACAAGTCAACTTAGTTTAACACCTTAACCCCTCAGATTGATGGGCTTCTAATATCTCTGTACAGTATCTCTGTATAGTATCTCTGTACTGTATCTCTGTAAGGTATCATCCTCAAGTCAAAAATAAAGGTCATGATCATAGCCATGGTACACACCTGAACTGATTGTGTTGTGAGATGAGTAACCAACTTACTTCTGTAAATCACATGCTTTGAAACTGAATTTTTACACCTTAAAAGTTACAATACTGCCCCCTTGTTGTAATGAAGATAATAAATAAGCAAAACTACGAATCAAACACAAATTCCAAGAACTTTATTTAATTCTAATGTTTTTGCAAATGTTAGCAGTCTTTTAACAAAAGAAGATGCATGAAAGATATGCACATGCAAAACTAGGCAGCTGTTTAACCTTGGGGGGATTTTTTTTACAATACGCTCAATCTTTTAAAACTTATGTTACATTAAAAAAGATTCACTCTTTATCATCATATACTAAGTTTTCTTTGAGTGATATCTGACAAAATTCACACACTTAATAGTTCAATTCTGGTACACTCTTTTCTTTCATGAACTGCCCAATCCCCTCTCCTCTGAGGCAGTTACTTTAAGCATAACAACTAAAATTTCCACATATTTTTCCACAAGTAGAAATGACTGGATAGTTGTTGCTATGCCTTACACAGAAGGAATAAGCTGTGAATAAGACACACCCATGTGGTAACTAGAAATGAGATGAGGCCATGGGTCTTTAACTGACACAACAAACATATTGACAATCCAAGTCTCGATGAACTCTACAAGCAAGTGAAAAGTGTTCTATCCAAAATCATGTCTTACAAAAAACCGTACTCCATCCAAACAATGCATCTGTACATGTGCTTTTCAGACTTTGTGCAAGAACATCCATGTACATAGCACAATCAGTCCTACTTTGATCCTTCTTGACGCAGATTCTGATGTGCCGTCTATCCATTCATTTCACACAGGAGGGACAAAAATCAGTCCTGTTTATTTTTATTGGTACATTGTACCTCACACATTTAAAATATCACCTCATAGAGGGTTGCTTTCTTATCACCTGATCCTGTTACGATGTATTTGTCGTCTGTAGATATATCACAGCTCAGGACAGATGACGATTCTTTTGACTGTAAGTAACAGAAACTAGGGTTTAGAAAAATAAATGACAGTAAGCTATTTAGCTTTTAAACAAACTCTACAAACCTGAAAGATGCTGGCTCCATAGGGTGTTCTCCAGGCGTTCAGCAAGTTGTCTTTGCCTGTCGTAATAAACCACTTGCCAGAGTAGGCAAACTTTAATGACAAAACACAACTTTCATGCAGATGGAGCTGATACTTGTCTGGTTTTGTTTGGTGAAGTACTTCAACATTACTGTTCTCCATTCTAGGGAAGGAAAACAATAGCTCTGTTTAGTTTTGCCTCTTGCAAGATTTTAAACTGCAATTTTTAATGTGTCAGTTCCAGAATAAGAATAATTATTAACATCAGTATTCCAAACAAAACTTTCAAACAAGTGTCCCATATCACCAATGCACGTGAAGCAACATTAATTAACATTATTTCACAATCCAGAACTGATTGATATGTATTGGATATTGTAAGGAAACTCTAAGAATTGATCATTGCTTACCCTACAGCCAGCCAATCACCAGAAGGACAATACCCTAATGAGAAGATCTGTGATGTGAAATCATGCTGCTGAAGTTGTCGGCCTTCTCTCAGATCCCAAGATCTTACTGTGTTGTCTAAACCACCTGTCAGAAAGAACAGATTAATTAATAGTGATCTGAAATAATTTATTGAACAAAAAAAAAACTTTAACGCAGACAAAGATGGTCACTGGCAAATATATCCACATCCCTTTGTAAAACTGATAGAAGGAACCACACAGAAACTGCATTTGCCTACAAAATCTTCAACCCTTTGACTCATAGAAGTGATTAACATGTAACTTCTCCCTTTAATTATCAATACATTATCCAGCAAACAGGTAACAAGAATACTTAAACTCATCAGGTTTAAGTTGCTATCTTGATCTAACACCAAATTCTTGTAAAGGGATTTACAAAGAAATGTATAGCAACTAGAGAAGACAATTAACAATCAGATCTTGGGAGTTTAAAGGCTAAAAAAAATACCAACACATACAAGACTTGTGCAACAATTTCAACCACATAAACAGGGCATGTATCTTTAAAGTTTTTTAATTGATAGTTTCAGAATGATGTAATTAATGACAGATGTGTGCTAGGAAATTATTTGGTCAGAAAAAAAAAAAAACACCTCCTTACCAGTCCATAATTTGGTCCCATCTGGTGAAATATCAATACAACTTGCACCATCTGTATGACCTTGGAATTGTCTGACTAAAGTTTGATTATGCAAGTCCCAAACTGCAATATTTCCATCACTGCAACAGCTAAAGCAAACTTTGGAGTCTGGACTTATTGCCAATGCATAACATGCTGGTGCATTTGAAGTTAACTCATTCTTGATACGAGGTTGTGACGAGGCCAGATCCCAAATTGTTAGAGTACTAGCTTCACCACCAACAATTAATGTTCTTCCATCAGGCAACAGTCGGCAGGATCTAATGTAGTTATCCCTCTGCCAAAAAAATACAAATATAAATTAGGTTGCTACTTAGTCTTACAGTCACAAGAAAAACTGAAGATTTGTGGCTGATTCAACCTGATTTATTTTTCTGTAAAAAGTTTCAAGTTCTTAAGACAAGCCCAACAAAAATCAAAACCTGGTGCAGAGTATGTTTTGTTTTTTTTTCCCAACAACCATGGCAATGTAGACAATATAAGATGAGCTAAGAATTTGAATATTATCTCACCCTCTCAATGGTGCAAATATGAACTTTATTACCTACTTACCAAACATTCTAATGTTGATATCGGGCTTTTCCCACTACTTTGACCAATATCCCACACTTTGACACAGCCCTGCAGAAGAAGGAAAAATTGCATTACTAAACATCATTCCATACAATAATCCCTTGAAACAAAAAATTGTCAATGCTTAGCTACCTATGATAACCCAAAAACCAAATTAAGTCATTTACATGTAGGAGATGATTCTTACTTTTCCTCCTGTGTAAACATGACGAGTTGGATGGCTTATCGTGACAGCACAGACTACTTCCCCATGATTAAGTTGATTGATCTGTCTGGCATGCCGTGGGATATTTGAACCAATCAGTGCATCAGGTGGAAATGGTACAGCTTGCATTTGGCCGTCACCACTGACATAAAATGAATATGCAGGTTTACCCCCTGGGGGTCCTGCAGGGAGACCTGGTCCCAGAGGAGGCATACCAACTCTTGTCGCAGGGGAACCATGTTCAAAGCCAACCTGTTCAAATGTGAATTTTCAAAGGTCAATCACTACAAAGAGGTGTCTAACATGACTTTACCACAACTTGGAATTGACCCTATCATTTAGCCTTAAACTTCCAGAACTGACTACATGTACTTTCTCCCTGTGATATCCAAAAAGTTTCCAGCAAACAGGTGATGGGAATAGTTCTCACTAATTTACAGGAAAATTTGTAGCAGCCAGAGGGGAGAACTAACAGTCAGATCTTGGTAGTTAAAGGGTTTAAAAAGGAGATAGGAGTTTCATGCAAAGAGTTATCTGACCAGATTTAAATGGCATAGGCTGTATTTTTATCCAGATTTAGAGCACATCCTTTCATTAAATTTCACAAATTTTTAAAATTAAGACCAGCTGCATCTCAACTGGATAAATCAACAGAAAATTTTCCATTCATATCTCAAACAGGGCTCGATGACCAAATCACTGACACTGCACCAACACCAGGAGCAAAATCATCACATGATAACAAGGTATGGTCGGGATGTCTTTGACAAAGACAGTACAAAAAGCATTTCATAATAATTCCTTAGGATAAAATTTGCCCTAAAACAACTTCCTAGACAAGGCAGTGGACAATAATGAGGGTAAATTAACTTTTGCTTGAAAGAAACTAAACAATTTCATACCAGTGATCTACCATAACCAATTCCACCGGCAGACATTCCTGGAGTCATCACTGAGGATGAAAATGGTGTCGGACTTGAAAGGTCACTGCAAATGAAAGTTGTTAGAAAAGAGAAAAATTACTTTTTGAATACTCATTGTTGATAAAGACAACAACCTCCTTCCAAAAGTGCAGAACTCCCTCAATAAATCTCTCAACAAAGTTATAGAGTTCTTCATACATTGTGAGTAACACCTGCAAAGACTGTGCTCATCAAACTCAGTGCTGTGAGGTTTACCATAGCTGAGTTCCCACAAATCTATTTCACATCACTTGACCCTTCACACCCTAACAACAGCATGCATACTCTCCTCACTGTTCTCAATACTTTTCCTAAGGTGCTGACAAGGAGAGTTTAGAAAACAATCAGGGGCTTCTTTGGTTGATAATCATTTCCTTTATTCTGGTGACCTTAATGTGTGATTCAGGGGTGATAATGTAAGAAGAAATTAGATGCTAGTCACTCTTAGAGGTCAAAGGTTCTAAAGAGATGGCAAATTTTGAGCTTGGTCTTCGAATAAAGTAAGATTTTTTTTTTTTTTGCAAAAAGCATGGAATGAAGAAGAACCTTGTTAAGAACTCAGTTGTTACTACTCTCTACACTCATGACAAACTGAGAGTAACATTTTTATTCACATTTAATAATTGAGCAACAAATACTTTTTCAACATAAAGTAAATTCCTACCCAGCAATAGTATTGACATATGGGTAAGGTCCTCCTGGTACGGACATTGCTGGCCTCACAGCTGGTGCTGCTGGAATTATTGGATACACAAACAAATGAAACACTTATCACTATTTACATTAAAAACCACAGTACTGTTGTGATGACTACCTTCTAGCCAATGTTTTCTTATCTATCTTTTGTTACAGTTATTACAATAAAATGAAGACACAAAGGAGAAAAACACAAAATTGAAGACCTACAGTACAGCTCAGGCAGCAAAGAAGAGATGTTCGAGAAAACACAGTTTTATTTTTGCCTTTCAGTGCAAAGAAATGGCAATCAGAATGACAGTCTTTACACAAGAACACAACTCACCGACTGGTGTTTTGACCGAAGGTGATGATCTTGATGGGCTTTTCCTTCCAGATGAGCCTGTCTCTGATGTTTGTCTTTCAAGCACAGCTTTGCTTTCAGACTGCAGGGGTAAAATTCAGCCAATATATTATGATCAAGTAATAAGCAATGAAGTCAAACTGCAACATGGCAAACCAGAAGCAAAAAGTGTTTACCTTTGGGTGTTTGGATGAAGGTGTTGATGAAGATGAAGATGGGTTGGTAGGAGATCCAGAGTCTTTCCTAACTTTTTTGTCACTTAGAGGGGGTGAGTCAGGTCCATTTTCTACTCTGGGAGAATTAGCATCCTTGAAAAAAATATAAGGTGTTGAAGTTAATTAGAAATGACAACATATTTCACGAAGAAAGGCCTCAGCAAACAGGAGAGTCCTTCTAACTACTTGCAAAGCCTTCTAGAAAGCACTGTAGGAGTAATGGAGGAGTAATATGTTTAAGCTCCAACATCTTCAGATTGGTAACAAAATAAATTAAACAATAGTCCACAGAATATTACCTCATTGGAGACATCCACAACTAAATCACCATCACTTTTTTCTGCATCACTCTCCTTGAAAAGAGCCAAATATATTAATAAATAAATGTACTTATTTAATTACTTAAAAACCATACAGTTGAGTACACAGCATGTCCTTACCCCTGACTCTTTGTCATCTCTCTTTCTTTTGCTGTTATTCTTTGTTCCTAGCAAAACATGAGAAGAAAACAGAATAAGAATACGATTTAAATTGAGCCCGGTTCTACCAGAGAGCAAATCTGTGAGACAGCAGTAGCATCACCTTCAAATGTACACTCACCATTAACATGTCTTTCTCGTTCTCTTTCTCTGTCACGATCTCTGTCTCTTTCTCTGTCACGTTCTCTGTCTCTGTTTTCCCTGTCTCTATCTCTATCTCTGTCTCTGTCTCTTTCCCGTTCTCTTTCTCTATCTCTTTCTCGCTCCCTGTCCATGTGTCCATCATCACTACCATGTGACGACAAGTCAGATGCTCTGTATTTTTCTGATGACCGCATGTGTCCCAGCGGCGAGAGGGAATTCTAAAAGAAAATTTATGATTAGCAAAGAAAAAATAGAGACCTTTAACACAAAAAAAATAATTGAAAGTGATGAAAATACTCTTACCATGCCATCTAGTGGGATGAACGGAACATAAAAGAAAGAACAAAAACTGAATTAGAAAAAGTACCAAAAAAAACAAAGACCAGTTACAAAAAGAGACTTGTTTTTTCTACAGTTGGAAAGTCCATTGAAATCTGAGGGTTGCAAGGGAATCTTACAACACAAACAAAGTTATTCTACAAAGAAAACACTTGAGGAACAAAAACAACTATGTAAACAGCCAAAACCCTTCAGAACCACAATTGGGTATGGCAGCATTTAAGGTCAATAAACATGTTTACATAATAATTTTTCCCCCTAATTGAGGGGTCTTTCCAAAAGATCTCTAGGAAACCTATTCTTCAAGTCTATTACCTTTGTCTTCAGGTTTCATCATAGGCAAATGAGGAGGCTGAACTGACAGGTTGGAAAGAGCAAGAAGTCCTGAGGTAGCCCCAGGTGGAAGCTGTGGGGGTGTGGCACCAGGGTGGGGCAGTGGTATTGTGGGAGGATGGCCATGGAGACCTTGTAGACCCTGATGGAGTTGCTGTTGCTGTAGATAGAAACGAACTGAATTTTAACCTTAACTATTTTATTTCTCATCACTTTTGACAACTACAATATATTTACTAGAAGGAATGCATTGACCCTCACACAGCTCAAACATGAAAAACTTTAAAATGCTCTATAACAAAACTGAAGCACAGCCCAGCTGCAATTGGGATAACTGAATTCTTGGGAACAAACAAAAATAACTTTGTTATCATGGCCCCCTGCACTGCAGCCATCAGGAAGAGTATGGAAGATAATACATATTTGAAGAATTGGAACTCTGCTGTTTATAGTAATAAGTAATGATCAGTTGAATGCTTCATAAATATTCAGCTTGTAAAAGTTTGCAGAGCTCAATACACTAATAACAATATTGTAAAAAATTCTAGATGCCAAAACACTCTTCTATTTTCAAGGTCCAAAGATCAAAATTCATTTAGTATAAGTGGTTATTTGTTCAAGATTACAGTGATAACAAGGTGACTCCAGCAAGATGGTAACAATAGACAAGAATCCATTAACACTATCCACCATATGTCAACAGAAAGAAAATATTTTTGAACAGAATAGGACTTTGGACAAGTCAAGCCTTGCTATTACATCATCACCTTCAGTTCACTAAGAGAAAAGCTACATTTACTTTGTATCATGCTAACAAAACTAGCCTCCTTTGAACAAAACTACCTTTCAGATAGCAGAACAACTGGTGAACTCAAACAGTGTAATCCTTCTACCACTCATCAGTTTAAAAGATTTTCTATAACTCATTATCTCTTTAAATTGAGCATGGTTTCTTGTTTCAGACCTCTTCTTGATGATCAGATTATCCAAAAAAAGAATGTATCAGAATTTAATACCTAGTAATCTGATTAGTGGGGCACATTCCTAAGATTCTGTCAACACTGTAAGGCTATTTAAACACATACAAAGCAACATTTACCCTAACAGTATAATACAGCAGTTAAGCATACTTCAGTGGAATTTGAGCCAAAAATAACAAAAGGCTAACTCAGACAAAAGGTAAATAAACATTTTAAACTATTCGAGTGCTCATTTATCAAAGAAAGCCGATTAAATTACCAGCCCAGATGCTCAGGAATAGATAAAAATCAACATTAGAATTTGTGAGTGTCAGTTCTGCATTTAGCTGAAAAGTGCGACAACACCTTTATCTCATTTTCGTCTATCTGGCAAACCTGTACTTAAAGATAATTACAAAATTACTGAGTCTAGGACCTAATATTGATTGAATATCACAATTTACCTAGTACATATCAATATCACAACAAGCTTCATGTGGAAAACAAGCTCTAAAAAGCCATACAATTGTTTTACCACAGAAAAAAAAGTTAACACCCTTAAGCTACTACTTGTTCGCCTGAAGGTCTGTCTTACCCTTTTTGATCTTTGATGTACAATATAATATATCACTCACATTCCAATGCAAGAAAAAGGAAATTTCAGCACACAAACAATATCTCCAAGTACCTAACACAGTTTCCTATCATTTTCAAACCTGACTTGTTTTGGAATTCTTCTCACGAAATATTGATCAATACATTCTCAATGGGGAAAATGATATGAGAGATAAAATTTCCAGGTGGTTGATATTGTGCCTGCATCATAGCACTGAATTCTCAGCACTCAATTAAATTATGTGGTCCATTAATTTTAAAAGACTTAAAATTTTAGAATCAGTACCTAACAATGGCAAAAAAAACACCAGCCATAAAACATCCCTTATCCTTTTCAAAACATCTTTTAAAAAGTATATTTTTTACTGCACCAAAACAGGTGACAATCTTTGTCTCTATGTTACAGAGCCCAGTGAGTACCATCACATATTTCTCATCAACTTCTTTTTTTTTTTCACAACTTCAACTTTTTTTCATGACTTTAACTTTTTTTTGCAACTTAACCTTTTTTTCAAGACTTCAAACTTTTTTCACGACTTTAACATTTTCTCAAACCCCACTTTGAGCTACCTGGGTGGGGACAGGGGTAATAATCAGCCCCTCCTATATGCTTCTCATCCATATTCTGAACCTTTGTTTCCAATCTTCAGTTGTTTGTTACAAAACAGTGAATACAAACTTTACCCTTTAACCCTTAAGAGTGACTGGCATCTAGTTTTCCCTTACAATATCAGCCCTGAATCAAACATTAAGGTCATGAGAATAAGAGAAATGATCAACAACTAAAGAACTCTTGACTGTTAAACAAATTCTCCTTTTCAGACCCTCAAGAAATGTATAGAGAACAGTATGGAGAATATGCATACTGATGTTAGGGTGTAAAGGGTGAATCATTGATGAATACTTGCATTCTGACATTTCTCTCCTACTTTCTTTCCCCACAAATCTCCTTCCCATTTTCTAATACTTTCCCTGGTTCCCACCTTCCCTCCATCTCGACAACTTAGGGTAATGGTTGAGATCTTACCCCAATAATGGCATTCAATTCGGTCATCGTCACCTGTTTGGCTCTCTCTACTGCTGCTGCAACTTGTTGTTGGTGCTTTAAAAAGAATTGGACACAAAAAGCTTAGCACTAAACAAGATCAACAAAACATGAAAACGAATCTGTCAAAATCATTTAATAGGAAAGTATCCCAATAAAACTTTAATCACAATTTAGGTAAAATTATAATAGTTGAAACACAGCTCTAGAAATTTCTTAAATGCATTCTTCATGGCCAAAGTGACTTCCACTCTCCTCGACTGGAACCAATTCAGATTAGTCTGCATGAAGAATTAATAATCACTGAGTGAAACTTTATTTATATTCCAAATTGTTTTTATCATGTAACTGCTGTTTCAATTTCCATGTTCACAAACTCAATCTTTCAGGTAATCTTTGTGAATTGTGTCATGTCTGTAATATTTAGTGCAATCATTCAGTAGCCAATTGGTACTGGAAGTTTGGAATTTATATTACAATATGTGCAGGCAAAATCTTCATTAAATCACCCCACAGTGGCCTTGTTTGATGACAAACAGCTCTACATTAACAAACCCTGGAGGTTGTTGAAAGGAACTCTTCTTAAAAAAATATTCGTAATAATAAATAGGCTATCAATTTTGACAGACATGAGCTGAGATCTTTTTGTGTCAACACTGGAGAATACTACAAACTATATCAAATCACACTTTGTATATAAAAAATGCATTAAAGTAAGCCGCCAATAAAAGAAGAGAAAGATCAAGATTTTTAGAGATCCCGTGGAACCATTTGCTGACGAGATTAGGGGATTACCTATACCACCCATTGCTGAACCTTCTAGTAATTAATGACAGCATGTGATGATGATGATGTGTACTCATTCACTAGTCTGTCAGTCACACTTTCTGTACTTGATTTAAAAGGTCGCAAGAGAAGCACATGAAAGAGAAATATTCATCCTTTCACTATAAAACAGAACACATTTCTGCTTATGAGTGGACTCACGCAATACTCACATCTTGAGAGAGAAATGGTATGATTTGTGCACAGATTGCATTTAACCTTTTAGCTATCTCTGTCTGAAAAAAATGAAAATAAACAAATATCAACTTTCCCATAAGTTTGTATGATTTAAATATGAATAATATTTAACAATAATTTGCACACATTGATATAAATTATTAAGAAAAATCTAGGAGAAAAACAAAATAATGAAAAGAAAGACATTTGAATGAGACTGTTTTACGTCCATGCAGTAACAAAACCATCCCTCAAATTAGCCTACAAGTAATGAAAACACAACAGAGATCACATCATTGATTATTCTAGAAGAATTCTTTGTTTCCATAATTGATCATATTTTTCCTGTTGCTTAAAATTGTTACACACCAGAGAGCTGTCTGAATAGGAAATTTGCTCAATTTTGTGGTTATTCTGGGGAGGAAGCAGTGTTTAACAAACCGACTTCCTTTCACAGTTGAGTAATTTTATCGTTAAGTGCAAACTGTGCTGTATCCTCTAAACCATAAAAAATACCCAATGAGGCTTCACAAACAACCAGTTCGGTTAATTTCATCTTTCTCAACCTTTGCTCTTCATTTTTTAACACCAAGAAGTAAAAGCACATTTTGCAGTACTGAGATTGGACACATCATTTCTTCCAATCACATTAAATTATTTTGATTAAGAATATTTTCTAAGTAAGAAATTGTTGGCTCACCCGCAAGGTGATCACACAAAAATTAGGGACCACCTTGTAAACAGAGCCATATTCGACATATCACGTCCCGGCAATTACATACATTGACGCGACTACAACCTGCATTAAATTAACACCACGACAAAGACAACGTGATGACAATATAAATCCCTTTGGGATGACAGACGCATGACATGGCTGATTGATCTGCTTTACTCTCTCGCTTAATCTTGGTATTCAGTTCCCATAACGGATTATTTGATTACAGCTCGAGCGCGCACTAATATGGCCGCGGCGTGAGCGCAGAGGCGATCGAACGAGAGCGTTCTAGCCCCGAGCAGGTGAGGGGCTATGCAAACGACTTGTGCCAAAATAAACAAATTTACACGAGCTACAATTAAGAATAGAAAGCTTGACATATTTTAAAAAGCCTCTAAAACCGTCAGCGGAACGTTTAAGTATCTTGTATTCACCGTAGGCTTTGTATTCAATTTGCAATTAATTCTTCCGTAGCCATTCTTGTTTATATTAGGACACCAATTTACCAGGCTGTTTGAGAAGTCAAGGCTTCAAGTAGATTTTAATTTGCATTTCGGAAAGGAAAAATGTAAACCATTAGAGGTTGTCGCCTCAAAGTTTGTCTAAGGTGTAATGCAAGACTGTTGATGAATAAACCATGCCAAAAATTTAATCCTTAATTTTGCGGGAGATAAAGCGACTCAAGGACATACTTTCAAGTCCACATTTCCGTTCAATAGTGTTTGTCTTTCGGACTGGATGAATGTCAGCAAAGCTTGCCAAAAATAATTCGCTCGTTTATCTATCAACGGCTTATCTCAACGAGTGGTCGTATCAAGTGATGTCGCCAAAAAGATGACTTCTTGATCTCGTTGAGAGGAATTTACATTGTAGGAACCATCACTGGCAAACCCACTTTCTATCACATTGTCACGTAGTGTTACAGACCTGTTTATGCATCTCCACGTTGAGTCCATATGACATCTCGTAATACTGCAAGAAAAAATAAAAACAAACGTCATTGAAGTGTGAACTTTCCGAGAAGCGTTCTCACTGAACGTTGTAAGTGACATGCAATGTCGGCATAACGTGGGGTTAGATTCAAATCTTTAATCCCAACATGCTCCGTAGGAACACATCTGCTTGTAGCTACTGAACAATACACTATACAAGTCGGCTAGCCGATTTCTTGGGATTACAAGATTAAAACGCCGAGCTAAATTTCTTCCACAAATACAGATCAACTATCTATTGCAAATTAATTACAGCGGGGCGACTCCATTATTACACAATTAGGAGGAAAAGGCCTTGGGCTACACGGTCAGAAAAGCTATTAACCTAATACAAACCTTATCGGGAATATAAACGAACACTTGGTATTCACATCTTGAGGCCAAAACCTCTAACGTCACAGAAAAGTAAACAATAGCAAAGATGACTGGCTCAATAGTTTTTTGCTTTCCAAATAACAAAAGTAGCCCGAGCTCGTATTTCGTGAATACACAATTTTTAGGCTACAAAGATGTGCGCGCGTGTTAATCGAAAGGTCCTTGAGGTTGACATGAGCAAAATACTGGATAAAAGCACGTAACATCGAAAAGATCTTGCTTACCATAACATAATGCCTTTGCATCTCTGTCTTCTCGCTTGCTAGCTTTTCACACTCTAACTTCAAGCTAAAAGCAAGAAAACAGTACAATGTAAATATTGTGTTGAAAGCCTACGATAAGATTAACTTTACATGACATAATGGCTCGATGCTTCTAAAATAAATTAAAGTTATACGCCGAGCTAGGGGCTTCTGAAGACCCTTTTCGCTGGGCATCACATCTTAAATCGAAATTCACGCCTCATAAGCCATTTGCCAAACTTTAACGCGCCAAACTTCTACGAACACAAATGATGTTTTCGGGTCGGTCAATTCATGCAGGGAACAGTAATCAACAGACTTGAGAACTTACCTGTGGTACTGTGCTTGAAGAAAGTTAAATTCTTCTTTGATACGATCGCATGAATCGGCTACAGTAAACTTGAATGGTTGGCCGGAAGGTTGATGCGGTGTCTGGGAGAGGGAGGAAATTACGATTTTTGAGCTCGACTTGTGAAAGAGCCGGGGTGTCACATTACGAGAGCCTGTTTTACAATAACTACCATTTCAACACGAATTTTCACTTACCGTATGTCGACTTTGATACATGTTGGTCGACAATCCTTGATAGCCTTGTTCAGTGATAGCCAGAAAGGCGCGAGTTAAGCGAAGTCCAAAATTTCCACACACTCACAATAAGTTGTCTCAACACAGCATATTGAAGTACTCAAGCATTTCGCGAACCGTTTGTTCACGCTCGGGTCGCTACCAACGACTAGTGGGCTCGGGTGCAAATCGTTTCTATCGATTAGACACTTTGAATTAAGTCACACAGTAAGTTGGAGTAGAATCGTTTTTGGCCGCTTCGGACGAAAAGTTTACCACGCTTTAAGTCCACAACTCAGCGACGAAACTTGAACAAATATCAGCGTTGAAATCGACACAGCAAAATGACACGGGAAAACGCGGCACGCGGTCCACCAACATGTAACACCATAACACCCCAGGGGGAACACCATATATGGAAAGTGTTTAATCTATATTTATTGCCAATCTAGTCAAAACCAATCAAACATGACTCAGGGACAGAAATATCCCACGTGGTTTTGTGTCATCTCGTGGGGTAAACAAGGCCCAATCAACGTTAAGAGTGTGTGAAAAAACACCCGAAACACCTGCATTCTTGCCGCCTTAATGAGATCAAGGGTGTCATTCAGACTTTAACGAGCTGCTTGAGATGTCAATCAAAGTAACGTGGTATAGTGTTGACAAAAGAAGTGGTCCGCCCACAGCGAGTTCTTCAAATGAACGCTTTGTAAATTGGTTTCCAATATCGCCAAACCAAACAATGGAAATCAGCAATTTTACCGCATTGACCAATCACTCGCGACTTCCTTTCACAAATTGCACAGGGTCTTGCATCTTGGTGGTCAAAATAGATAGCGTTTTAGATCACGTTTCACAGTCTTTTGGCTGCGCCATGATGCGTGGATAAATCGCTTGTTTCTGGAGTTTTCGCCGATAGACGACTGAAAACGCCCTGTCTTAGATAGAAAAGAGCTCCTCGATCCAATATTTACCGAGCGCTTCAGCGCGTTAGTCTTCCCACTACACAGAAAATTATTCTGACAATTGATAATTTTAATACGTATGTACTGGCCGAGTCCCTCATAAAATATTTGATTTTGTTATCAAGAAATTGAATGTGGGAGAAAGCGGATCTGTAATCTCCCATCTTACTGAATTACTCCCGGCGGGCATTCGCAAATATATAGCACTCGGGCGCCGGCTTGACGCCGCAAAGACACATTGAGTTCTAAAGATAAAAGCTTAATTAACACAATAATCGCGAGATGAGTGTTGCTAATTAGTGATGGTGTAATTACGTAAATTACAGAGTCTAATCGCACTAATGACTTGAGAATTGTAATGAAAAACACAAGAATCACGTGGGGCTATTTATGAGCGACAACAACACAGGGTCAAGTTGTCGCGATCCTCGATTGGTTGAATTAATTCGGGGCCAACTTTAGAGCTTACGTTTGGGTGATATAGACAAACTGAACTGATAACAATTGACCAATTTAGCTACAGAATCTGATGTTTATCATAAATGACACGTGCAAGGACTCTATAACCTGAAGCAATTGAAACCAGCTTAAGATTTAGTCGTCAGGAAGCAAACACGATTCATTGTTCAAAGGATTCAGGACAACACGAAAGTCAAAACACGGGAACCCGTGTTATTCAACACGTTTAGTACAGCCGCTTTGGTTGTTTAGACTTATTGAAAAGCCACAAAGAGCATTTAGACTGGTTTGATTTGCCCCTCGAGTAATCAAAGTGGCTCTGACCGTCTAAAACTCTAATGTAAAATAGAGTCGTGGATTATTCAGCGTGCATTGTTTACGCAGACACTCGGAGCCTGATTGAAATTGATAATGCATACGATTTCTAAAGAATATTGTATTTCGCTCACACGCACTAAGTTCCGACCTACAGAGCGGGTTTTATGTGTTATCAACACTCACATCATCCGCTCGCATTAGAGAGTAAGGTGACACTATATCCCCAATGCGCATGTCATACCAATTTTTGAGATTTACTTTTCACGAAGCACGAAAAATATCCTCACTCTCCTAGCGAGACAATTCGTGCCGAAGGCATGTTTATGGCATCTTAAACATTTTATTTTTTTCTATTATTTAAAGGTGCTGGCCAAATTGACAAAGAAAACCGTTTATCAACTTAGCACGACATTTTCATCCAGGTGCAGATGTTCGCGACCGCGGCTGGTTTTAAACGACTTAATGCAAAAGGAAAAATCTCCACAGACGCACTGAAATTAAAACAAAAGCGCTGGAAAATAACTTCCTTATAAATGCATCCGCCAGTACGGAGACAACTTTAAAGATCATGCTGTGGACGAAATTTGGTTTTCTGTAAAAAAAAAAAAAAAAAAAAAAAAAAAAAAGAAAATATCCCTTTGGCGATACGATGAACCCTGGACTATAAGATTCGTGCCCCTTGCCAACTTGAACCCACAACAAAACAAAACACGGCTCGTAATTTTAAATGAATATTTGGTCAAAGCTGCTCGCCAAATATTGAAATAAGACAACCTGATGACAACGCGCGCACTACATTGGTCGATGACAATATGTGGTTGACCGAGCGGAACTCAATCATTTGAAAGCAGCGGACGTGCTTAATAACGCAGACAGAAGTTGTTTTGTTTGCGTTGTGTTCTGAGTGAGTCCCACAAAACCGCAAATCTATCAGCGCTGAATGAAGGCAGTCAGCCAGAACTTATTTACTTTAAAGCTGCATCAATAATTCATGCATGATAAAATGGAACTGTTTTGAAAATACAGCTGCTTGAAAATATTTTCTTATCGATGGTCCCGATAATAAAATCCTCTCCCGCTTTTTCAAGTTCCTCTACTAGCCAGTAACTCAGGCTAAGGGCGATCAGGAACAGACAAGCACTTTGAGTACAAAGCTGTTTTTAGTGCTGAAAGCAATCAAGGAATGAAAATAGATCTGTCAAGACCATCACTCGCCAATATCATCCAAACCGCGCAACCTCAAAAGAGACCAGTATTGCTTCATGACCATGTTCACTTCGGTAAAATTATCCATGGCCAAAAATAACATCGACGTCGTGGACAGATTTCTTTGTCAAAACGTTGTTGTGATGAAAACGTAAATTATGACTTTTTGCGCCTCGAAGGCGTCGCTTTGTTTTGTTCCTCAATGAACTGTGAAACTGCTTAGCTACCATAAACACTAAAAGTAATCGATTGACGGCGAACAAACAGACGCCTTCTGAAAGTTTATTTACCAGTGCTTTACAAATCACAAGTGAACAAAGAAATTGCCGAAATAAAGTTTTGATAGTAGCTCAGCTACTGGACCCTACATGTAAATTGACGACTCTCCTAGATTCAAGGGCAATCAATTTTTTCGCTTTTTTCACGCCAATTTACACTTTTTTGAAGGAAATATTTCAATCACACGACACATTTCCAACGCTTTCAAAGGCTGAGCCAATTCATGCATGATTCATACATCATTGGTTTTGAGGTTGCCCGTTATCTCTTGGCAGAACTTATGAGGCGGAACTGTGCGCATACGAAATCTTCTGAATCTTGTTAAAACCACTCAAACCCTTTCTGCTTTCGGCGTAATCTAGATGAATTAATCGGCTTTTAAGGAGCGCTGAAAATGGATCCCTTGAAAGGGAAAGGAAATTTGCAAAGGAACTATTAGCTCTGAGATCTACTGAATTGCGAGCGCTAGATTACCTTGGCTTCCTCCTTTATTTATACATGCAAAACAGTCAAACTTTTCAATTGCCCCTGTAAGAATCAAAACACGAGGTCAATGTCTGCAAAATAAATAACAATTTAAGTTTTCTTTAAAACTTAAATCAACAAAAAGCGTTCACCATATAATGTGGAAGATCCTGTGTAAATGACATAAGTAAACAATTCCTCAATGTTGATCGAGAGTTACCGAGAAAGCTTGGAAACGGCCAAATTAAAAATGATAGATTAAAATAAAATCTTACTGTTTAGCTTTTGTTTGATACAAGCTTATTTCTCAGTAACACAAAAACTGCCGATATTTCATATTCGACAGTAGATTTTTGCCTTATGTAAATAATAATATTTTGTAAAAATTGCTTAAAGTGGATCTGAAATTCAAATTTCCCGATACCGAAGACAAAAGCTTTTTACACTTTCTTAATGGCATGAATTTTCCCGTTTTTAGTTATTTGATTAAGACACAGAAACATTTAAGAAAATCTTTGTCGGATGGGTTAAGAAACGGAATTAATTGTTTCATTTTATGTTTTTTCATTCATTATAACTTTTGCGCAAATGATTTTACACCGAAGAAATCGACCACAGACTTTGAGATACCTCTGGCAACGTTTCTTAACTCTTAACCTAATTTGTGCATTTACATTTGCAAACAAAGACAATAAAAGTTCTGACAAAATAAAACCTAAAATATTTTTTACTATAAAGAAATTAAAAGCCTACCTAAAAGCAAACTTTTGGACAATTTGTTTTCGCTTCCACATTCTACAATATCATGTTTGCTTTCTTGTGTAATTAAATGAATCTTAAATTGGGTTTATGAATATTCAAGACTGTTCCTAAGCCTATCCGTATTTACCGAGAAAAACAAATCTGTTTGACAGAAAACGACTTTGAATTAAAAGAAAAGAAGCGGCATTAAGAGAAAATCACTTTGCAAAGAGTTTTTAATGTAAATATCTTAAGCGCCATGCCACAGCTAAATGAGTTTTAAATATTGTAATCTTATCGGTTAAAATCGAGAACCAAAGCCTATTTTATGAGTTTTTGCGGTTCTTTTCGTGGTTCAAACATAGCCGTCTTGTAATTAAAGAGTAAAGATTAACGAATTATGAAAGAACCGGATAATACGAACATAATGTTGCGGTCTAGAGCGCAAGTTTAAAACTCGGTTTGCACGCAAACCAACACAAAATAACCCGCAGTTTTGGTGGTTAGGGCAAGATCACCAACATGAAAATTTAAAGGCTTCACAGCACAACGACGCTAAAATCACGTTAAAAGCACACATTTCAATATTTACCAAAAAAAAAAAAAAAAAAAACAGAAAAAGACCAGCAAGGTCAGCAAAATTCAATTTCCAGAATAAATCAAGCAACAGCCTTCGCTGAAAATGTTTTGTTTGCGGTGTGCATAGCTCATATGCGGTTGAAAATTTCTGTTCATAAATTCTCCGCAAAAAGAGATGCTATGGCACTTCGTCATTTTTGTTATCTCAAAGTAACAAGATTTGCATCTATTTTGGGTGAACTGTGGGTTTTACGGCTCGGCTGACTATGCATAAAGCGATTTTCATCTTGATGTTTGGTTTTCTTTCTTAATCCGGGATAATTTCAGCTGCTTTTTGAGGGATTGAGGTTGAATTTAGAATT